AAAAATTTAAGGGGAAAAAAAAAAAAAAAAAAAAAGGCGGTACAGTGTTTGTTTTAATAAACTTGAGAACTAAAAAAGTTCTGAAAACAGAACTCAATTTAAACTTTTGTCTCGTTCCTATTGTAATGGATGTCCAAATCTTTTATATTATTTAATTTATTTTATTATAATCTTTCTAAAGGACGACTGTCACAGACGTACATAAGTCGATTAATGGTCCAAAGTGTTTTTTTTTTTTTTAAAGCAAGAAGAAACGAAAGGAAAAGGAAAGGGCAAAAAAGTAAAAATAAAAATTGTTTATTGAACTTTATTCAGATAATGTTCTCCTTTTCCAAACCCTTTTCCCAGTTTTTGAAGGTGCTTTTTCTTTATTGTGTCTTTTGTTCCCTTTAAAATTACCTTAATTAAAAAAAAAAAGAGGTCGTTCCTTCCTCATGCAGTGCCATGCACATACAAAAAAAAAAAAAAAAAAAAAAAAAAAAAAATGAAAATTTGAATGAGGGCTGTTGATAGCGTTTCAGCTGTTATTGGTTTGCAAACTTGAGCTAATAGGTAGTTACGAGTCAGCACATGAAGGCACGAAGAATTGAATGGAATGAATGAGAAAACATGAATGAATGAATGGAATGAATAAAAGATAAATGAATGAATGAATGAGATGACATGAATGAATAAAGAGAAAACTACGGCGCAGTCAGGGGTTGAGTTTGTAATTGCACTTGAGGCAAGAGGGACGGTAATGCTGAATGCATATGACCTACTTTTCGGGTCCGGTGGGGTCGCGTGAGGGTGTGTTGTATTCGCGGGATTGCTTGAAGTGCAATTACAAACTGTTTTCGTGACTTCGCCGAAGTTACCCCATGAATAAAAGAAAGAAAGAATGAATGAATGAGAAGATACGACTGACTGAATGAATGAATGAGAAAACATGAATGAATGAATGAGAAAACATGAATGAATGAATGGATGAATGAATGGTTGAATGGATGGATGAATGAATGAATGAGAAAACGTGAATGAATGAATGAATGAATGAATGAATGAATGAATGAGAAAACATGAAGGAATGAATGAAGGAATGAGAAAACATGAATGAATGAATGAATGAATGATGGAATGAATGAAGGAATGAAAGAATGAATGAATGAATGAAGGAAGGAATGAAGGAATGAAGGAATGAATGAAGGAATGAATGAAGGAATGAAGGAATGAAGGAAGGAATGAATGCGAATAGGTAGTCAGCACATGTAGGCACGAAGAGTTGAATGAAGGAATGAAGGAATGAAGGAAGGAATGAAGGAATGGATGAGAAGACATGCAGACGACAAATAGACGAATGAAGACAATCGATTAACCAACCAAAGCACACAGGTGCACGAAATTGCAATTGCGCACAGATGAGCTGAATCCGGGCGATATAGCACGTTGATTGTATGTGTGATGATGTTCGTAATGAGGAGGTATTTTATAACGTTGCAATTTTTGTTTTCGAAATTAAATAAAGTAACTACCGTCTTCCCCCGAACACAACGCACCCTGATAACGAATGCATACAAGCTATTTTTCCGGCCCCGTGCAGCGAAAATGAGGGTGCGTTGTGTTCGGGGGAAGACGGTAGGCTACCAGAGTGGGCCAGGAGCACTTGCTCGGCCAGGCCAAAAAAAGAGAAAAAAGAGAGAAAAGAAAAATGTGTTATTTAATTGTATTTTACTTACATTTACTTCATTACGTAAAGAATTTCGATGTGACCCTGATGAGGCAAAAGTTGTTCAGTTTATTTTTCTGCATAACATAGTTTTTTTTTTTTGCTGGGAACCTTGCATGGCCGGGCAGCCCGGGCAAACAAGTTCACCCGGGCGGACCGGCTGGTAGCCTAGTTAATTGATTAATTAATTAATTTAGACGTTAAATTCCATTCAGGCTGAAGGTGAGCCTTTTCTTGCCTCCCTTCGACCCCAGTTTCCTATCGAAACTGCTGCTGATCAGGCCATATTCACACAAGAGGACTCTGTCGACCGAATTTGGCCGTCATTGCTGTCAGATACATTCGGAACGTTCCACTGTGAGTATCATGCCCTAATTACTGTAATTATTAATTCCTCTGGTCGCCAGCTACTTTCTCCCGGGACGTGGTAGCATTAGCAACCTCTAGGAATCGATTCAGCTCCTGAATCTGGACGTGTTTCACGCACAGATGCAGCAAAAGCAGTTCGATCGCGATTTTCTGCACCTCGTCAACGAACACGTCCAGATTCCGGAGCTGAATCCAACCCTCTTTGATGGTGGGAAGTCGGCCCAGGGGGCGTGGTAGCACTTGCACACACATACACACAGAGAGAGAGAGAGAGAGAGAGAGAGAGAGAGAGAGAGAGAATCTAGGTCATGGATCTTCGTAATGAACGGTCAAATTTTATTTTTATTTAATTTTTATTTTGCACATACTTTTTTTTTCTTTTTTAACACTATCTTTTCACATTCCCTCAGTGTTTTTGTTTTTTTTTGTAAATAGGGCCAACACATGAAAATATGAATTAGCAGAGGACGGTGCGCTACATTTTCGAAATTTCCGAAATAGGAATATCTGGACGTACACGTGTTGTTCACACAGGCCGTGTTTTCATTTATTAAAAAAAAAAGGAATATGTACCAACTGCGCTAGGGCAGTTGCTACACTAGCGCTTTACGAAATGTATCTCACTGCGATTTCGGCCATATACCTGGATGCATGTGACTGTAATCACGTCCTGATACCCCTTCGGCCCTCTTCCATCCACACTGGCACTTCATGAGCTTGTCAATTTTTTCTGTTTTAGTAAATGCAAAAAATTTCAAGAAAATAATAATAATTAAAAAAAATTGTCATGCGCCCCGAAGAGCATTGGCGATGCGGGGTGGACGATAGAGAGGGCAACCGCCGCATTCAAAAAAGAAAGAAAAGAGAGAGAGAGAGAGAGAGAGAGAAAGAGAGAGAGAGAGAGAGAGAGAGAGAGAGAGAAGACAAGCGCCAGCGCCCCAGGTTGCGGAGAAAAGGGCTCTCACTGCGAAGAAGAGAGCCGAAGGGGTATCTGGACATGATTACAGTCAGATGCATCCAGGTATATGGCCGTAATCGCAGTGAGATACATTTAGTTATTCAATGGGCTACCTGGAGAAAGTGCTATACCTTTGTCCAATTTTAATGGAAATTACAGAAAAAATTCCCCAAAAGGAAACCGGTTATTCAAGGCAAAAAATCCCTCTGCTTCGGTGAAGGAGATGTTTTTTTTTTTTTAATTATTTTTATAGAAACTATAGACTACCTAATATCGTCCCCGCAGGTGGATTTAAAAAAAGACGAGATCATCTTCTTTAAAAAAAAAAAAAAAAAAAAAAAAAAAAACATATCGTCGGCTGATGTTGTTTATTCGTTCTTGTTCGAGGGCAAAGAAATAAGAAAAAATTATGGGTTAGGGCTAACTTCAGTAGACTCACAAAATCGAGTTTTAATTGCACTACTCGTATTGTCCAAGATACCGTTTGCAATACTTGCTCTTCGGGCACCCTACCTGGCCAGAAAACTGGGTTGTATACATTGCAGCCTTGCAATTGCAATCTCTATCTTGGCCCATACAAAAAAGAGCCTAGCTCAGTGGGGACCACACCCATGAACTGTTGAAATACAGACCAGGTGCTGTGTTCGAATCCAGATGATGAAACTTGATTGACGAGTAAAACCAACTACTAACGAATTGCCTGGGGCCGGTCAGCTCAATGATAATATCTAAAAAAANAAAAAAAAAAAAAAAAAAAAAAAAAGAGGGGTAACTTCGGCGCAGGTACGAAAACAGTGTGTAATTGCAATTCAGGCAATCCCGCGAATACAGCACCCCCCCACGCGACCGCACCGGACCCGAAACGTAGGTCATATACATTCGGCATTGCCGGCCCTTTTGTTTTGCCCTCAAGTGCAATTTATAACTCCGTATCTCCACGTTTGTGTTTTCTGACGTGGCAACGGCTATGGTTAGTGTTTTTTTTTTTTTTTTTTTTTTTTTTGGGACTAGCTAATTCGAAGACGACAGATTATTTGCTAAAAAAAAGAAAAAAAGATAAATCGTTTGCTGACTTTATTTCTTCGTTCTAATTGTAGGGGACTAGGGGGGAAAAAAAAAAAAAGGAAAAATCTTCTTCACCATTTTTTGCTGACGTGGCAACGACACCGCTGGTTTGCTGACGTGGCAACGACGACAATATTCAGTGGGTTTATAGTGGACGATGACGTCATCAAGTAGCCTTGCCTTGTTCTGCAGTGGTCATTGTGCGTTCTTCTTCTTCTTCTTCTACTTTTTTTCTTTTTCTTCTTTTTTTTTGAACTAGCTAATTTTATCCAACGCGGATTCGAAGAAGATTTAGATCATCTGTTCAAGAAAAAAATAAAAAAATTCGTCTGCTGATTTTTTTTTATTTATTTTTTTAACTATAGCTAGTTTCGGCCCCCGCGGAGTCGAAGAAGATAGATCATCGGCTACGAAAGAAAATTAAAAAAATTCATCTGCTGGTTTGATTTCTTCGTTTCTTGTTGTAGGGGAAAGAAATCAGGAAAATTCTTTTTCACGCTTGTTTGCTGACGTGGCAACGGGAAAAACATCCATGGGGATCAAGTGGACGATGACGTCATCAAGTAGTCTTGTTCGGCAGTGGTCATTGTGCGTTCTTCTCCTTCTCTCAAGCGATGGCTATGGCGGCTATGAAGGAAGCCAGGGTGCCGTCGTTAGATTGGCGTTCGCACAGCTGTCACCTCCACCAGATGCCACGTCATCCTCCTCATCAATACCTATAGTCCCAGCCTTACCGTCCGAAGGGGAAGGGGAACCCAGTCCCGAGCCTAATCCATTATCCGAGGGCTCTGCATCTTCCACTTCTGTCGAGTCAGCAGTCGCTTCTCTTCCCCCATCCCCTTCCGCCGGTGTCCCGACCCCAGCGGAAGGCGGCGCAAGCACCGCCTCCGCTCAGTCTTCCGAACCCAATCCCGATCCCAATCCATTATCCGAGGGCTCTGCATCTTCCCCTTCTCTGGAGCCAGCAGGCGATTCGCTTCCCCCCACGGCGATACCAGTGGAAGGAGACTCAAGTGTCGCCTCCGCTGAGCCTTCTGAACCTGTTCCCGAATCCGTCCCGATTCCTGTCAAAGTCCCCGAATCCGTCCCGATCGCTGTCAACGTCCCCGAATCCGTCCCGATGCCTGTCAACGCCAGCGAGGCTTCCACCCCCCCCACCCTCACCGCTGACGCCACTTCGCCGGCTGAGAGTGAATCCCCGCCGTTGATTGCCTCCTCATCACCACTGTCTCCGTCAAACCTATCAGAGCCATCTGCGCCGTCGACGTCCCTGAGCACTCCTCTGGCCCCCTCCTCCCTCTCCCAACCTCCATCCGCCCCAGCGGAAACGGTCGCAATCAACGACTCCGCTCTGCCTTCCGCAGCTGTCCCCGAATCTGTCCCCATCGTAGCCATCAATAGCAGTACTCCCCCCTCCGACAATCTATCCCCGACCCCCTCCTCTCTCTCCCAACCTCCATCCCCCCCAGCGGAAGCGGTCGCAATCAACGGCTCCGCTCTGCCTTCCACAGCTGTCCCCGAAGCCGTCCCCATCATAGCCATCAATAGCAGTACTCCCCCCCCCTCCGACAATCAATCCCCGATCGTGATCGTCTCCTCATCACCCTCGTCACCGTCGAACTTATCAGAGCCATCTGCGCCGGCGATGGAGGTCAGCTCTCCTCAGCCTCAGCCTGAGGCTCCCCCACTTTCTCCATCCCCTCTTGCTGTTGGCGTCAACATCGGATTCGGCCAGAGTTCACAGCCAATCAACGCGAGCGAGATGATGGGCATCTTGCAAGAGGTCAACGCGAGTTCTGTCAAGCTGTTCGGTGATTACAGCGACACTCCAGAGGTGGACGCGTTCATGACTGCACTTGCAGGGACGGGAATCGACGTGGTGATTTCCACGTCGATGGAACAAATACTGATCTTCGCTGAGAACGTCAACAATGAAACGGAGGCATTCGTTCAGTCGAAGATCGTCAGCCGTCCATATGTCAAGATCTCCGCCATCGCGGTAAGTGCCTCTTCTTGTTTTCCCTCTTCGCTGTTATTTGTTCCTCTCCCTCCCTCTACCTCCCTCTCCCTTTCCTTTGCTCCTGTCGTCCCTCTGTCTCTCTCTCTCTGTGTCCCTTTTTGTTGTCTCTTTCTGTCTCTCACTGTGCTCTTTCCCTCTCTGTCTCGTTCCTCTCTCTCTGTTCGTCTCTCTCTCTCTCTCTCTCTCTCTCTCTCTCTCTCTCTCTCTCTCTCTCTGTGCCTCTCTCTTTTCTCCCAACCCCCATCTCTCCCTCTCACTATGTTCTTTCTGTCTGGGTTGTCTTTCTCCCAACCCCCATCTCTCCCTCTCACTATGTTCTTTCTGTCTGGGTTGTCTTTCTCCCAACCCCCATCTCTCTCTCTCTCTCTCTGTGTGTGTGTGTGTGTGTGTGTGTGTGTGTGTGTGTGTGTGTGTGTGTGTGTGTGTGTGTCTTTGTGGTACGTTGCGCATGTAGGACATGGTATGCCTCTCTCTCTCACTATGTTGTTCTCTCTCTACGGGCGAGCCATCTCTCTCTCTCTCTCTCTCTCTCTCTCTCTCTCTCTCTCTCTCTCGCTGTGTTCGTGCTCTCTCTCTCTCTCTGTGTTCGTGCTCTCTCTCCCCCTCTGTTCTATTTCTCCCAAGCCCCATCCCTGTCTCTCACACTCTCTCTCTCTGTAGTACGCTGCGCGTATAGGACATCGTATGGGGTCCTGTTTTTCTTTTTTGTTTACGAGTCATTATTTGGGTAAATAAGAAAGTTGTCAGAGATTGTTTTGTGCACAAAAAATAAAAAGAAAGATGTGTGATGCTTTGGCTTTCAAAGGCGGTTTAGGGTTGGAGGCCGGTCAAATAAAAGAGGTGAGGGGAAGGGGGGGGGGGGGGGGGGGGGGGGGGGGGGGGGGGGGGGGGGGGGGGGGGGGGGGGGGGGGGGGGGGGGGTGGGAGTGGAAAGGGGGGAGGGGGGGGGGGCTAGGGGGGGGGGGGGGGGCGGGGAGGGGGGGGGAGGGGGGGGGGGGGGGGGGGGGGAGATCGTGGGGGGGGGCCTGAATTTCCGAAGTTGTGCAGAGGGTGTTACGGGGCTTTTCTGCTTCGCGAAGGGTGTATGGGTAATTTTCCACATTGTTAGGCCAGAGCACTGCCTCCTTTTTTTTCTTTCGTTTTTCTTTTTTCTTTTTTCTTTTTCTTTTTTCTTTTTTTAATTGCTTTTTTCTTTTTTATTTTGGCCTTTGCATGGAGTGGGTGTCAGAGAGGTTGCGGCTTTGTTCCTCTTTTTTTTTTTTTTATTGCGGTTTTACATTGTGGCCCTTGCTGCAGGATCCATCTTAGTGAGATACCCCTCTCTTTTTCTAGGCTACCAGGGCTGAGGGCCCACTAGCAATGAGCCTTGGATTCAGAACCGGAATCTGATTGGGTTCTAATAAGCAGAGATCCGAAGTAGCAGCCATTTTCTGCACCCCTAGACACAACCCCCGTCCACATTCAGCCGCTACCTTCTTAACTCATATGGGTTGTAAAAGAATACAACGCACATACAACACATGTGCATTCTATTGGAATAGCCCTATATTTCGAATACAACAGCGCATATGGGTTCTAGTTCTATTCGAATACAACACGTGCGTTCTATTGGAATAGCCATATATTTCGAATACAACAACGCATATGCGTTCTATTTGATATTTTTTTAACCAAATTTGAAAATATGCTCTGTTCGGGGGAAGAAGGTAGTACACGGCCCCAGCCTTGTAGAAAGTTTTTGTCATCCAGTGGCCTATCTCAGTTGGGAAGGCACACAAGTGGCATTCAGGAGGTCTTGGGTTCAATCCCCATTGGCCTCATGTACCTTCCTGGGCAAGCTCGGCGCCTGCCACAGAGAGATATGCCGGTGGGCCCCCCGAGTGGCATTGAGCAGAGACTGCTGATGTTCATAGGGGGAGAGGACCGAAGGGGAGGCACAGTGACTGGCCCATCAAAGAAGCTCGGTCCTGATGCTACTGGCTGACCCCTGGCCGGTATAGCCCACCTGCTCTAGCAGGTATCGCACCTGCTGGTGGGTGCAGCTCCTGCATGTTCCCTCGTTGGAGGCTTGAGCACATATGTGGCTGCCACGGGGTTCCTCGTCATACTATAATTATAATGACAGGAAAAACATCGGCGGCCTCCGAAGTGGTGCAGGTTCCATGCTGACGCCCGTGGGCCTATGTATGGTGTACTGGTGCTTTAAATCCAATCCTCTTTTGCTATTGAGACCTCGTCGCAGATGTTGGTTTGTTGGTAGGTTTATCATTGGAGCCCAGTAATCGATCTGCAGTCAGATGGAACTCTGCAGTGAAACGGAATCGAACCGGTGACCTCGGTCGTACCAGCTGGATGCCTTTACCGTTGCAATGGTGACCCGGTGTCCAAAACGCAAGCCATACCGGTCTTGGCATTGAGCCCAGCCCAGCCTTAACCTCTGCAATGGTGACCCGGTGTTGAAAACTGAAGCCATACTGGTCGTGGCATCGAGCCCACCCTAGCACCGTTGCAGCAAGGACTAACATCGTCAATGCAGCGCATCCATGAGATCTTCCGCAGGCAGCAGCATCCACGCAGAATCCAAGACCCCCTACCCAGTTGCCAACCTTTTTTTTTTTTTTTTTTTTTTTTTTAATGGGAACAAAGCTCCAATCTATTCGTGGGGAGCAACATCCCATAACACCAGAATCTAGGTGAACATCCCCATGCTAGCTGGTTAATGGGCTCGACGTACCTGTTGGTAGAAAAAAACAGGTTAAAAAAGTGGCGAAAAAGGACAGTACTTGGGTAACATGCTGGGGATATCCTCCTTAAGAGCAGGATATCATGACAGTAAGGAGGAGTGGTGATGAAGAGATTGTATAGTTTGACAGGGGGGAAGATTAGAAAGAGGTGTTATGATCCTGGCCAAGTTCGAAGTACACATTCATCAGATAGTACAATGCCGTCCAATTGCAGAAAGAAATGAATGAACTTGAGAGGAGAGAGAGGGAAAGAAGAAGAAGAAGAAGAAAGAACGAAGAAGAAGATGAAGTACACCAGCATAGGCATATGATAATGCTCTTCTTCTTCGCCAGACACTCTCCTCCTCCTTTACTCTCTTATTCACACAAGAAATAATAGTACAATGCTGAACGGCTGAACCAGAATCAATGTCCGAATCCCTCTTCTGCTGCAGGTATCGCTTGAGGTCCACCATAGCCATGGCTGCCTCTCTCCTTCTTCCTCCTAGGCCGAGGCTATGGCGGACTACCGGGACATGACCCGGTTCCTCAAAGGACAACACAAAGCATCTATGGCTGCTCTAGCTCAGGCCGCCATGCCTGACTCTGCCTTGAAGCTTTTTGGTGTAGCTCTACCACAGCTGGGGTCTTCCTGCTGCAGCGCCCACCAAGGTGATGAAGATGGCTGCCCCCATATCCAGGTAAGTACCTCTGGCGCTCCCCCTTCCTCCTGGTCTTCTTCCTCGGTATCCTTGCTCCTTCCCCAGCAGGGCTGCTCTTGCTAGCGCTGCTCCAGCCAGCGCTCCAACCAGTGTGTTGCCAAACTTGCACACCGACAATGAGGCTGGGCTCTTCGCCCGGCCTGGAGATATAGCGGCCTGCTTGCCTCTTGGGCGGTGACTTCCAGGCCGCTCGGCCTTCTAAGCAACTGGTACCTCCTCCCTTTCGGAGGGAAACATCATTGCAGACTCTGATATTGCCCGTACAGGCCCTAGACTCAGAGTGGTTGGACTGGTACCCGCCTAGACCTAGCCTACAACTAGTGGGCCTCTAAAAATGCCAACTTTTGTCTTCTTCTGCTCGGCCTGGAGTACCCGGCACATCTACCTCTTTGGGGTGTGGTACCGGCCTACCTGCTACTTGAGTGTTTCCCCGCTGCTTCAAGTGTTGCGGGCACTTGAGTGTTTTCCCCGCTGCAACCCTCAATGTCACGGCCATAGGTAAGTACCGGCCCTGAGGGCCCAACGAATGAACGAGTGCTCTTGCGGGTCTCAGCAAGGCATTCAGTCCATGAGCAAAACTCAGAAATCAGCCGTGTCTCTCAGTCCGTGTTTGGTCTGGTCATCACAGAGGTATTGATTCAATTGAAAGGCGAAACTAAGTAGGTGAAAAAAAGAAGGATTAGCAGGAGATAGTGGTAGTGTTTTTTTTGGACTGATCATGGGAATGCAGCGAGGGCGATGCGGTCTGTGAGGCTGCTAGAACGACCCTCCCCGCACTATTTCTTTCAAGTTCCTCGAGTCCTGCTGCGTGACTGGGTGCTGCCAATAAGCTTCCCGGCCAGCAGAAGCTCTTTAGGAAAGCAATGGTTTTGGGGGAGGGGTCGGATCGTAGCACCCCCCCCCCTTGAGTAGGTGGCTCGTACCGCAAGGGCTGGCCTGACTCTTTTTCAACACGTTTCTTCTGTTATCTCTCTTCTTTGTACTCATGCTTGCCGGTGATAAGCAACCGGACTGATGCCCCCCATAATAGAAGGGGCCGTTGCGTTTGTTTTAAATATAAAAATAAAAATAAAATCCATTATGCCAGTAAATTCCTTTTTCTTTTCTCCTTTTTTCCTTTCTTCCCAATTACGGGCCCAGTGCCCGAGGCAAGATACATATCAAATACGGACCACATCTATCAGGGGTCGATTGGCCTTCAACCCTAACCAAGGCCCTCGCTCCACTACTCACCAAATGTGCAGAATGAGAATGAATCTTCAGCTAGAACATGGTAAGCTGCACTGCCATGTTTTTTTGTCTTTCGCGCATGTGGTGGGGTAGTGGAGTGAGGCCCTAAGAGCGGAGCATCGGTCCTGCAGCGAAGGGACTGATTGAGTTGAGATAGTGCTTTGGTGCAGAGGTACTCTGCAACGAGTTAGTCCAAACAGGAACAGATAAGGGTCGAGTACTTTCACACAAGTCCAAGCACTCACACTCTTGATGATAGGACAATTCTCACAAAACTCAAAAATGGCGAAGCTTAGCTCTTTAGGAATTGACGTAAGGAAAGTGACAATCAGCACAGCAATTTGGAGCCCCGTAAGCACCTCTGTGCCTATGCTGGCGTTCCCCGACGCATTTCGGCCGGTGCCAGAACCGGCCAACCTCAGGAGGATGCTTCGAATTTAGAGAGACCTATCCTCTACCCTGCTAACCTTGTTTTTTGCGTTACACAGCCGTAGTCCGCATGCAAGTGCAATGACTTGCTGTTTTCTGGCCGCCCGTAGCCTCTCTTTGTCGAGGCTGTACTATAGATAGAATGGGCACAGCGGTTGGCAGTTGGTACCGAGTACATCGCTGCTGCGCTACGCGTGAACCGGAAGTGGTGACGGCTCAGCGTGGAAGGAGACAGGCATAGCCAGACTTCTGGAGCGCCGGCCATAGCTGGGACCTGCGCTGTACTCAGCCAGCACGTAGGGGCTGTCAGAGGTCTGGGCTATCGAGGTCTGCTGGAGGTGAGAGAGGTTGGTGCCCTGCTGGACCCTCCTTCGGAGTGGGGTTCCAGGGTGGTGGCGCTGCAGCCATAGCTGCAGCTTCTTCCTCAGAGGTCATCTTGTCAAGGTTTGGTGGCGCTGCTGCAGACTTCCACCCGGGAAGTCTTCCGACACTTCGTCATCATTAGATATTGTGGCGGTGGGCTTCGTGTTCATCCTATGAGCGGCGCTTGGCCTCAGAGGCCTGTTTCAGGGTGGCGCTTCCCTTTGGAGGCTGTATCAGGGTGGGGCTTGATGTTTCAGGGGCTCAGGGGTGTTACGGGTGGTTACTCGGGGTTGGGGAGTGAAGCGCTGCTCATTTATGAGCAGCGCACTGTAGTTCTGAAGTTATCCTGACAATTCGAGACTCTGAGTTTAATAAACAATGTGTAATTGGGTTTGGACTATCATCGTTTCATTGTTTTCCTAGATGTGACCTGCTTGGCTTTTCTTTATGACTGGTTGTGAGGATTGAGTGGAGTGAATTGCACTTTCAGTGTACCTTGTCATATCGCATGGCCAAGTTTTCCGCTGCGTTTATCTCTCCCTGTGCGGTGTGATACTCCTATCCTCTCCCCTTCCTTCTGTGTATGTATGGGCAGACCTGGAAGTCTATGTGAGTGAGTGTTGGTCTTCAGACAACAAACAACCAGAATCATAACACAAGGCCGCTCCAGCCCGAATATGCCTTCGTCTTAGCAGTCCACCCCACTTTCCGACAGCCAAGGTCAGATCTAGGCTGCTACAGGGTCTAAAGAGACTCTAACGACTCAGGTCAAAGTTCGAAAGATCAAAAGGCAGAAAGGACAAAAGAAGGAATGAGAAAAAAACGTGGTCGAACATGCCAAGGCCAGACAACCAACAACACACTATTTGTAATTAGTAGCCACATCATCCACTAACCTAATCCCTTTAACCAACCTTGC